TGTGTTATTGCACTAAGATCTCTGTATAAATGCTCGTAATTTCACTTGCTGTGTATAGCAAATGTACAACAACTGTATTTGGAATTAAAAGTCTTATAATTACATGAAAAGTATGCTCGGTTGTGCAATTTCTTTTCTAATGTTGTGTCTCAAGTTTAATTTTCTCTCAAAGTTATGTATTTCATCATAGTTAGTAAATCCCTTAAATTTTTTTAGAAGTAAAAAATCAAGAACACTTGAGAACACTTTCAGGCTGATTTCACCTAAGAAACCCGATAAATAAGAACCCAATCAGCCTGAACCCCGAAAATGGGTGTTCTTGTATGCGGGTTTTTACTGTAGTTCAATGTACAATACGAAGTTGTTATTAAGCTGGAGAAGTTTGAAGGTTAATTCTTTTTGTAGAGACCGAGGAACGCCTTCAATGTGTAAACTGCATCATTCCCTGCGTTGTGTAAAACATTTTCGTCATACTCGATCGCCAGGTCACCCAGCAATCGTTTGAGGCTGTAAGTCTGGGGACCACCAGTCAGCAAAGCCATTGCCAGCATCTGCGTATCAAATATCTGTTTTCCTTTTAAAGATATTCCACACCCTGCAAGGTACTGTTCATCATTATGGCCAGCGTGGGTCACCAAGAAATCTATGTCCGCGATATGCTTCTGGAACTTTTCTGCCGCCTCCACAAGAGACACACGCTTTGAGGTACCAAACTTGAATCGCTCCCGGTTGTCAGGGACAAAATCTTTGTTTGAAAAGTGGAGATTCTCCTCGATAATGTAATGGAACGTCTCCTGCTCTTCCGGCTTGTCAATTTTTGCGATGACGTAGCCAACTTCAAGGACGGTAACTTTGTCGTATTCATAGGTTTCCACGTCAAACGCCATTACGCGAGGGTAAGGCTTACTTTTTAGCGAATCGCGGAGCATATTTAAATGTTTCTTTGCTTCTTCTCTTCTCCTAGATATGAAAGAAGAAAAAAATATATAAGGAAATCATGCTGAACTGGAGCTTCATTTGAAAGCATGGGTAAGGGTTTGACCGTTTTTTGTCGATATAAACTCGGCAATCATTGGATTTTTGTCCTCTTATATTAAACAATTTTTTCTTTTTTGTTCAATGAAAGAAAGTAAATTCGATTATTAAAAACTGGATCATTGGATAATGTAATTCAAGACTTTTTATTGGCATAGCCATTATGCCATAATCTAATATCTGTACATAGTAACATCGGGTTTCTTCTTACAAAATAAAGTCGAGAAGATTTGTCTGTTTTGGGCGCGTTTTTTTTTTTTAATAAAACAATTATTCCACTCGCGCCTCGTTGGCTATCTATCATCTCATATCCAACGCGCGCTCGTGGAATAATTGTTAAATATTTGTCCTTGGACACCATTTCTTCCTCCTGGAGTCGTTTTCTCCGAGCGTCGCACTCGGAAAACCATTCCCTTCTTGGAACGGATAATTTCCGTTGACAAATATTAGTGCAAATCTTGCTGAAAATGGGCGTTGTTTATATGTTGCATTTTTGATTATGCATCCCGAACCTAACAGATCCCCGTCAAATGATAGCAATTATTTACAACCTATGCGCTAATAACTGCGTCACGTATTTTCTCTTCACGTCAA